GGGCCATGATTCACAAGCCCACCAGCCTGGCCTAGTTCCTGTCAGAGTATTGGATCAGGGAACCCAGCTTTAGGACAAATGTATTTAAATATTAAATTATTAAATTAATTTTATTTTCTATATTTTACAAATATTTTTGATACCTTAATATATATATAGGTTTTGTATATAAATTATAGAATTATGTCTACATGAAAAATGGTAGATCGAAGCGCATTTGATTCTAAAGTAGAGTGCCCATTCACTCGGCTGGCAAGACATAGGCTTCTGCGACAATTAATATTCATTGAATCAATCATACAATAAGAGCAGCCACCAAATAGAATACAACATAACTTCAATTTTACAATCAACAGCAGCCATTCATGGTTCATGGAACTGAATTTAGAATTAGAATGATGAGAGATCTTAGCTAGTCACTAAGGAAATATATATAAATGGATAATTATATGTTTTTATTTAATTAACAATTCATGTATATGTATCCGTTAATATTAGTATAGTTAGAATGAATAAGAAGAAGCACATCACATCACAGCATGGCCATTACATTACCTTTAACAATGCTCTCTGGAGATACTCTCTCAGCAGCTCACAAGAGAAAACCACAGCAAACAACATCCACCCACGCCATTAGTGCAAGGAAGACAATTGGCAGTAAATCCTTAGTTATAGTGCGGCACACAAACGAATTTTTTTGCTGGTGTCGTCCCATGTATCATGCAGGTAAGAACATTGAGCATTCTGATTTTCCTCATCTCTATATGCAACCGCTTCCACCATTTTTCTTCATCGTTTCATCTCCATTGTCACAATTTTTCAAATGTCTCCCATGGCTCAGTTTCTGAACCGAGTGAAAGAAGCCATTAGAACAGAGACTGGAAAGTGATCAACCGAGGAGCTTGTTATAGTTTACGAAGGCATAAAATATATCAGGTTAGAAGAAATATTGTAAGTATAAATTTATAATTACTTTTTTCTTTAAATATTAATAACTATTTTAATTTATATATTTTTTGCGTTGTTTAAATTTATTATGTTTTTGGATTATGCACAAAGATTTTTTTTTAGCTTTAACTTTTTCTTGAACTTTAAATTTATTATGCTGGGGGTATATAGCATATATAAGAAAATGAATGTTAACTCTTTAAATAATAAAATAGAGATGAATGGTATTTATAGAATTTATGGGAGGTCATAAGAAAAAAAAATTAATTTTAAAACTTGAAAATGGGTGTCTTTAAAAAAAGGGGTGCAAATAGCTTCACTTTAAGTTGGGAGTGGTGTTATGAGAGCCCAACTAAAGTTCTCTCTAAGTCCCATTTAATATAAAATTCATAATAAATATTTAATAAATCAAATAAAAAATTAGATAATAAGTATATCATGAGACTAAAAACAAAAAATACATAATATTTTTCATAACCACTTTTATCTTCCATTTGATCTTTTTCCATGAAAGCTATCAAGAGAGAGTTTGTGTATTTATAGTTGAGCTGAAATCTTAAACAAAATCTCTAAGTCTACCCTGCTTACAATTCTTTTTAAATTGAACCTCTATGATGACATCCGGTTAAGCTTTATCCAATCTTTTCACTCAACTATATCTCATCTTTTGAAGGGAAATTATGATTTTCATAAGCATTTTGGTATATATATATTCAACTCTAGGGGATTCTGTTAAATTATTTATAGGAAGCATTTACATTGAAGAAATAAAGTAACAAAAAGAATTTGGGGGTGATAGGGGAATTCCGAGTTTGAAGAAGGAGGATGGTGTGGGTGGAAAAAGCTGCGGTTTGTAGGATTCCGAAATTGTTGAAGCATTTGGGTGTGGTAGTGAAGTAAAAAAATTCCTTCCTTTAGTATTATGCTAGTGAAAATGGGATGTAAATGAGCTCCCATGAAGTTGTTAATGGCTGAGAGAGTCAAGGGAATGTCAACCCGAAGCTAGGGAATGGTTCTAATGGTTAAGATAGTTTTATTAAAGATGGGCAAGCAAAAGTTAATGAGGTTACCAATGATATCCCCCCCATTCCAACAACACCACACCCCACCCCCCCCCCCCCCCCCCCCCCCCCCCCCACACCACCCCGGTCTTCCAAGCAAAAAGCCAATTGGTAGCTGATGAAAAACCGGTGAAAAGGGTGGAAGGAGCTTGGAAACAGTTCTAATGTCTCCCTTGAATATGTTAAACCAAATCTAAGCAAGGTGGGTATAAGATTAGAATTTTAATTCCTAGTGAAGTTCGGCATTTAACACCCACCTCAAGGTACTTAACTTTATTTATCCGTAAACCTTTAGTTGAATTTCGTTGGAGTTATCTTGGACAAATATTAAGAAAATTCTTTAAAATTTATTAGGGGTAAAATGGTCATTTCACTCATATTGATGAAAGAGTGGGGAGTGAAAGGAAGTATAATATATGGAGAAGATAACAGAAATGAGGGCAATTATGTAATTGACTAAAGGATATGATGAAATTTCTTGGAAAATCAAGGGTAAAATGGGAATATATATATATCCACTGTTTCTAATCAAGTAGTGAAAACATAAGAAATAACATCAATTCACAAGGAAACACAAAAAAAAATTTACTAGAAAACCCTCTTCAATGTGAAGAGATAAAAAAACCACGCTAATCTAACGATCCACTTAAATCCAATATAATCAAAAGAGTACAACAACCACAAATCCAGCAAAATATTCTAACAAATTTAGAGCTCAATCACAACTCTAACAAAGTGAAATACACAAGGGTTTACAAAGAGATGGATTACAGTCACTCCAAATCCAGATCCAGACGTTAACATTCTAACTCAATCGCTATATTAAAGATCCACACATCCTCTTCTTATTGACCCAAAAATCAAGTTAGAATGGTATACCTAAAGATCTAAATAATATGATATTATTATTTAAAGATGAAAGAGTAGAAGTAATGTATACCTGAAGATCTTCAATTTAACACGATTTCCACTTCATTATGTTCTGAAAATGTTCATGATATCTTCATTTTGAATTGTAGCAACACTGTAAACTACTAAGCAATTGTTCATCCACTCGTCTCCCATTCGATTACGCAAAGTATTCTTAAAAAGATTCATTGCAGAGAACACCCTTTCAACTGTTGCAATAGCCATGGGCAAAACTAGTGCTAATTTAATAAGCAAGAAAACTTTGTCGTAAGCAACATCCTTCTTAAACTCAACCATTTTTTTTTTTTTTTTTTTTTTTTTTTTGCAAGATTGGCAATCCCATCAACATGAGTGAAATTGGCGTTGGTGCTCACATCCTCATAATAGTTTTCAAGTTGACTATCGAGCAACCAAATATCGTGTTAAGGAAAATCGGCAATATAGAACTTTGCAAACTCAAGTAATCTGTCTTTGTTAAATGCAGCAAAAGAGTTACTTGGATCAAGAGATGTCATACACTGAAGCAACCTCATATTTACTTCATCAAAACGATTATTGAGTTATTCTTGAATGTAATCTAATACTGTGTACATTAATTCCATCTTAAAATGATGTTTATTCGTAATTGGCTTAATCTGTCGTTTTGTCCTCCCAAAATTATCTTCCATGTTCTTCGGGATTGGTATGTCATTATCTTTACACAGATCATAAGCTTCTTTCAACAATATGTCGAAGCAAGTGTCTTCTGTGATAAAAACTGCTATTATGGTATTTCAAAATACCAAATTTTAATTGCTTTGGACTGTTATGTGATTTTAATCGCTTTTGGACTATTATGTGTTAAAAGCAATTGAAACTTTAATTGCTTTTGGACTGTTATGTGCAATTGATATTGAATATTGCTTTTTTGTTGGACTATTACGTATTAAAGGCAACTGAATTGTTCCAAGTTATTGCAATTCAAATGGGCAGTTATGGTTTTAAAAGCAATTGATTAACATCGGTTACAGCAAGGGAAATGGGCAGAATTTCAAGTATAAAAAGGGGGTGGTTTTCTCATTTGAAAGACACAACTTTTCACTTGAAAAATCTTTATTTCTCTGTGTTTTTTAACTTTTCAGCTCTCCGTCACCACTGTTACTTTTCTTATATTGTTCTAAATCTCTATTAGAGTGTGCACTCTATAAGAAGATTCGTCATTGTATCTTGGAGGTCAATCCGCTGTTGAGCTTTGTTGCACCACGAAGATTCTTCCAGTAGGGGTGGAATTCTAATCTTAAGGACAGTGCTTTTGCACGCCTTGATGCTGCTGTCTTGCTACTATTTTGCTACTATGTTTGTTGCTATTTCACTGTTGTATTGTTGCTGTCTCCCTACTGTTTCACTGCTGTTATTCTATTGTTTCATTACTGTTCTTTCATTACTGTTCTTTCACTGGTTTGCTGCTGCTGTTTTGCTGCCAATTTTTGTATTGAAATCCAACATCTTCATTTCTCAATTTATGCAATCGACGCTTTGAAATTTGTACAAACTGCATGACATTAAGAAGATCTTGATCTTTTCTTTATAATGCTTGTAACGGTTCATATATGATTCCCAATACTTTCTTCATTAAGAATAACAAAAAGATGAATTCAAAATTCTCCATGATTCGCAATAACCTCCTTGCTTGACTTTTGTTTTGCCAATCATCTCCTTCACTCTCAATCACTCTGAGCACACCAACAACAGAAGAAAATAAATTTATGATACTATGAATTGTCCCTATGTGTGAACCCCAACGTGTATCTCCTAGTCATTTAATAGTGCATTCTTGATTTAAACTGCTTCCTGTCTGAGTATCACCATTAGAAATCAAAAATATCACATATTCACATTGTTTATCACATAGAAGATCTCTGTGCTTGAAAGATGCTGCTACAGTGTCTGCTAACGTAAAAAGAGTTTAAAAAAATTCACCCAATCCTGAATGTTTACTTACAACTTTGACTAGCGCCAATTGGAGTTGATGAGAGAAACAATGGACGTAGAAAGCAAATTTATTTTCTCTCAATATCAAAGTCTTCAAACCATTGAACTCACCCCTCATATTGCTTGCTTCATCGTAACCTTGGCCCCGTAAACTTGTCAAACTCAATCCATACTTTACAAAAAAGGCATCTATTGCAATTTTCAAAGACTTTGCAGAAGTATTCTTAACATGCACAATCCCCATAAAATGTTCAATAACACAACCTATTTTGTCCACATAGTGAAAAACAATAGCCATTTGTTCTTTCATTGCCACATCACGAGATTCATCAACTAGTAAAGAAAACAGTTGTTTATCTCTCACAATTTTGCAACAATTTTCTTGCTCGTCAAATGAGCATAAACACTAGTTAGTTGCCTCTAGATTTTGGGGCCATCATTTGATGGTTTTTCGGAGCATTTCCCAGCACAACTTTCTTTATGTTGTCATTGTGATTGGATAGAAACTTCAATAGTTCCATAAAGTTACCTTGATTTTCATATTCAACCGACTCGTTATGACTACGAAATGCTAATCCCTAATGTAAAAGGAATCTAATGCAATCAATTGATGCATTCAAGCGAATGCAATAGTCCAATTTACCATTTTTCGACACCCAAGCAAGATTTACATCGATCTATTGCCTTTGGTTCATCAAATCAACACACTTGGCATGACATTGGTTATGAGTACTAGAATGATCACCAACATGTTTTTTCACTTTTGCTTTGTCTTTCCAGTTATTATATCCGTTATTCACAAAAACTTCACCACCTGCTTGGTCACCATAATTGGGTTTGAAAATATAACAATTCAAATAGAAGATTGCATCTTTTGCCACACTATATTCCATCCAACGTGAACCTTATTTGCACCATTCTGATGTAAACCTATGCTTTTTATCTCCAAAAGGAGTGAAATGAAAGTTGATCTTTAAGTTGGCAAAGACCTTTCAACAAGTATGCTCTTCGAACTTCCTCTTTTTGTTTGTCAGTACAACAAAGCTCGTTAATTGGTATCCTTAATCCTGGGTCAGTTTCAAGCTCATCTAAATTGAACAACCCGATTGAAGGTTGAGCTTCTTTTACTTTGTGGTGTTGTCGCTGTTGTGGGGCTTCTTTTTCTAATGGGGTTTGATTAACCTCAATATCAGTAGAGTCTCCATCAACATTTTTCGCTGGACTTTTCTTCAGTCTCTTAAAATAATTGGATATCATAATCTTATTTGTTAATGCTTTGGATTCCAAATCCAATAAACATATAATGAGTTAGTACCAAAATGGGATCCCAAAAATAAGAGACAAAGAGATTCCTATAAAAAAATAATAATAATAATTTAGCAACTTAATTTTCTCTTGAATAAGATACATGAACAAACCATGATACATTTAAACACATGATACATGATACATAAGACATATTTTAATTTAACACACCAGACATGATATATTTAAATATTTAATTGCCTCCAATGAGAGATGGAGACATGAGTGAGAGAAGTTGAGAAGGGGATTTTTATATATTCAGTTTTGATAATCATAAATCAAGACATACGTACATTCATTACGACGATTGTTTTGTACTAAAACACAAAATTTTGGTCAATTTTCTCATACAAGATTCTGAAAATTTTATTCTTTTGTGTAAATTATCGATAGAAATATTATTGCAGATTTAAAATAAATAAATAAAAACATCTATAAGAGAGGATGACTATATAATACATACCCAACAAATCCACCAGCAAATCTTGATCTTCAATCTGGCTAAAGTATTGCAGCTTGCTCAAAAATGTTGCCGATGTTATGCAAAGAATGGCTACAGCCTACAGGAATATTTTTGCTGTTACCAATACTTGTAGCCCACAAAAGATAAATATCACTTACAATGTTGCTCACTGGTGGCTCAAGTTGATCAAGAAGCTGCTCAATGGGGGATTTTTTTAATTTCTAGTTCAAGGTTGAGCCTTAACCATCATGTAAAAGGGAAGTTGGGAATTGGGGAAGAAAAAGTTGTATATACAAAAGACAAAACCTAACTTTTTCATTTTTTAACTTTTTACTTTTTTTAACCTTTCAAAAAAACTTTGCAATTTTTTTTTTTAAAGTTTAGGGCAGGCCTAGGCCTACCCTCAAGGGGCCTGGGTTCACCCCTGTACGCCACCCTTCACCTAAGTGCTCTCAAATTTCTTCAACAAATTCCAAAGCAACTTCATAGGATTTGGCTTAATCTTTGTAGATTTTCAATCCTAAAGCATTCATAGGTAAGATTCTAGCACCAAGATGTGAGATTAAACTTTAAAGTTTTAAGTTCTTGTGGTTTTATATGATTTAGGTTCAAGAAGAAGAGAGTTTTAACAAAGGGAGGTTATATTACTAGTATTGCTCAAATTTAAGGTAAGTAAACCCAACTTTAGCTTTGATTTGACCAATAATTGTGTAGAGTATTCTTGTATGTTTGTATGTGCTTGTATGGTGAGAATTATTGGTTGAATTAATGTTGAATGATGTGTAAATCCAACCATGAGAAGTAGTTCATATGTATACGGTGAATTGGTGGAAGTTTGGATGAAATATGGAAGAATTGTTGTTGAATAATGGAGTGATGATTTTTGGTCAGGTTTGAGATTAACTATAGGGAGTTTTTGCTCCAATTTTGGTGGCTTGAGATAGATGTGGAAGTGTAGTCAATTTAGTATTTGCATGTGCATGTAAATTGTTTGATAAAAATTCAAAGAGAAATGCATGTATGAGTATGTTAGCTTGTTGCTTTGTTATGGCCTTGTTGATGGTAGAGAATGGTAGCTATGTAATGATATATTTATATGCTATAATGCATTCTTAAATTTAAGTACTTAAATTTAGAAAGAATAGCGAAGAATAAGCTTGGTTATATATATAAGTGAGAATATTAAAGAAAAATGTTAGTAAGAAGTGAGAGAATGAAAGAAAATAAATTGCTTGTAGATTCATTTATTAAAGACTATATTTGAAGAATTTACATAATCTGAATTTTTATTTAGAAGAAATATAAAATGTTATATTAGAAGGTTGTTGTGATGGGGAACTCGTGAGTGACAGAGAAGTAGAAAATTCCTACATGCACGCTGCCATCAGTGGGTGGCCTCATAATAGAAAAGCAGAATTTGTAAAGTCCGTTAGAAGTGCATGTGGATGAGGGCTATATCTAGAAAGAATTTCATAACACACTCACATGGCTAGGGTTCCAAATCCATGCCTCAACCTAGTCCGATCGGCAAATCAAAATAGAATAAAGAAAAATAAAAGAGAAACAGAATAAGGAATAGAAAACAAAAAAGAAAAATTTATTTCTTAGAAAAAGTTTATTTATTTGTGCATATGTATTACACTACTTCTACTAACCAGAATTTCCTATTGTGTTCAGTGATATTCCAGTTTTTATTAATTGTGCTTGCATGTTAGTAACTAACAAATTAGAATATTAGAAGAGAATGGAGAATAATAGAAAAGCTTAAAGTGAGAAAGGAAAGCCAAAACATGAGTAAAGGAGGAAGAACAGTAGTTTAGTTTGATTTACTTACTGAGCAATTAGTGTTCACTCCGTTAATTTTACCGTTTTACTAGATGAGATACAATTGGGTGGGACGTCAATTAGCGGAGGAGTTTGGCACTACTATCCGAGAATATTTTGTACTTATTTATATAATTTAGTTGACTTATGTAGAGATATGTATATAAATTAAAGTTAGTGTTTTGGGCTTTATATCAAGGTTCTGAAACCCGGACTGGACCGGGCGATCGAACTAGTCGGACCGTCACCCGCTTACATTTCCGGTTTGAAGAGAGCAAATAACCGGGATTTGCCATTAAGCCGTTTCAAACCGCGGTTGGACCGTCGTACTGTAGCAAACCGACAGTCCAACCGTTATTTAACAAATTTCCGGTCCACACATTTCCGGTTTAACACATGAAATTAAAAAAAAAATTTAAAAATTCAAAACAATCACATGCGCACACAAAAAAGTCAAACTGTCAAACTCAAACCAAACCCTCAAAATTTTTATTAAAAAACACATTTTTAATTTGCTTTTTGAGCTACAGATACACTGATACAGAGCTGTCTCCCTTCTTCAACTTCTCACTTTTTCATCTGGTTTGCTGTTTGCTACTGCCATTCACGATCTCCTCCACTCTCCAGTCTAGTCCTCCTCTTCGTGTCCTCCATTCGAGATCTCAGAAGTCAGATCTCCTTCAAGCTTTCAGCTAAGCTTCAGCGCCTCACGTCTTCACTCTTCAGTCTTCAAGTTTTCGGTCTGCAGTCTGCTCTACTTTGCTTCAGCGCTTCATTCTTCAACTTCCAGTCTTCTAGTCTTCAACGTGAATTCTTCAATCATCACCATCTCCATTGCTGATCTGCCGGATAAGTCATTTCAGCTCAGATTTCAGCTTCAGCCTTCACATCTGTTGCCGTCTGCTGCCATCTACGAGCTGCCATATGCCACCCGTCGTAGCTACCGTCTGCCAGCTTCAACCTCTGATGTTAGGAAAGGTTGTATCATTTTTTTGTTATTCTATGCTGTGGGTTTGTGATGTGATTACGATTATTAATTGTGGGTTGTTATTTGGTTTTATGGAAAATATCCAACTATTGTAAGGAAAGTGGTAGAGATGAAGATTTTTCAGTAGAAGCTTTTCCATGGAAGAGACAAGACGAAGGATAGTGAAGATGGGTGGCGTTATTTTGATTTTTGAATGATTTGTGATTAATTATTAATTAATATTTTTTATTAATTAAATATTTTCATTAATTTTGCTAGTAGTTGTTGATTTGGAATTAATGGTCTTTTAAAGAATATATTTATTGATTTTGTTTAGTTATTATTTTAATAATACAAAAACTATGGGCAGTTTACTCATTGTAATGTCTGAACTAGTGCCAAATACTCAAATGTCAGGACGCATTAACAAACATTAACGCAGTGTAGAATGTTGATAGTTTCCAAAACCAGGGGTGCTGATTGTAGATATGCAGCTTCAACCAGCATGCTGACGTCATGTCGGACCGGTCGGTCGGACCGGTCAAACCGTTCGAACCGGGAACCGGCCATTTGGCCGGGTTGGCTCCCGATCCGGTTTTCAGAACATTGCTTTATATTACATACTTATATACATATATATTTTCTAAGAAATATTTAGTGAGTTTTATTTTATAACTCTCAAAGAATTACTAGCTAGAGAATATATATTACACGGCATTAGGAGTCGACAAGTGGAGTAATTGTCTTTTTGGGCTTTTCCTTGAGAAAAAAATTGATATTCTTTCAAGTTAAGAGCTATGTTGACAAAAATTAGAGCCGTTTTGGTGCTGTGGGGGTACGTCTTATGGGCATGAGGGCTACTTGCTCAAGTTTCCGAACGAGGCTACTAAATTGGATGTGTTGAAAGGAGGAACATGGTTCATAGGAGGACAACCTTTCTTTTTGAAGTTATGGTCACCTAATTTGATTTCAGGCATGAATGGTGTGACAAGGGTACCCATTTGGGCAAAATTCTATGGGATCCCTCTTCAGCTATAGACTCCTAAGAGTTTAAGCCACATAGCAAGTGTTATAGATACTCCTCTTTATATGTACAATATAACCAAATCGGGTGAAAAACTTGAATTTGCTAAAGTGTGCCTTGCAATGGATTCTTCTTCAAAGTTTAAGGAGGAATTTGAGTTAGAATTACCAAATGGTGAGATTGCATTAATTTAGGTGGAATATGCGTGGAAGCCATATTCGTGTGCTTGGTGTAAAACATTTGGGCATGTCCAAAGAAATTGCCAATTGGCTTTCAGGGCAACTGACCCTTTGTTATCCAAAAAGCCAAATGTATTTCATGGGTTAGAGTGGAGACAAATTTATAGTAAGAAGAATTTGGATACTACCCGAGAAGTAAGTAAAGAGAAGGTAGAGGAAAAGAAGGAAGGTGAGGATTTGGGTGAGGCCGATTGTCCTAAGAATTGTGAGGTGAGTTCCCCTTCTTAAACTCTAACCAATTCGGAGTGCTTAGCCAAGAGCTTAATGGTAATGTGGGGGCTGATAATGGTATGATTGTGAATAGTGGGGTAAAAAATGTGATAGTGGAAGAGGGTAGATTAAATGAAGATAAGAGTGGTGAGGAGATTGATGTGGGTATATCTGTGTTTGATGTAGGGGAAATGAGTGGGGTCAAGGAGATTGTTCTTAGGAAGG